GTTTGCGACATCCGAGTGTAGGCCGAAGCAATTCGCAACAGCTGGCGCGGTGTGCGTGCATTGTCCTCGGGTGGGAGGGTCGTCGTGGTCGGGTCTGAGTGTGGGTGGGAAGGCACTGCACCCGTCGCACACCCTCCTTTATGTAGATCAATTCGACTTGTATTTATGTTCCTCCTGTGGGGGCTGCAGCAGTCTAATGGCAAGGGCTCTTGCGGAGAAGTGTGACCATAAGACGGCTAAAGGAGAGCAGAACCTTAGGCAAATTGCACGGGGCTTAAGGCCTCACCCGAAGGGCATGCCCAAGAAAGTTCAGCACAGGCGGGATGCCAATAGAGCGGTCACCAGAGCTAATGCGAAGGTGCACGCGTGAGTGTGCATGTATAGCATAGCAAGCAAGCTCAGTACGATTGCGTACTGCTCATGCCGATCTCTTGCCGATCCTCCTCCTCCCCCCCCTCCTCCTCCTCCTCCTCCGCCTCCTCTGCCTCCCCTCCCCCCTCCCCTGCCCCCTCGCGGCCCCTCCCAGGAGCGACTCCCCCAACGCGCGCCCGGACTTCGTCCGCCCCGTCTCCGCGGGGCGAGGCGGCGCCCAGCGCCGGAGTTCGGCGGCGAGCTCGGCGGCGGCCCTCGCCGGCCGAGTCGGCCCGAGGAGCGCAGTCGTCGACCGCTCGGAGGGGAGGGAGGAGAGAGGAGGAGAGGGATAGGGATGGGAGGAGAGGGATAGGGGAGGAGGAGGAGGAGGAGGAGGAGGAGGAGGAGGAGGAGGAGGAGGAGGAGGAGGAGGAGGAGGAGGACGGAGGACGGAGGAGGAGGGAGGAGGAGGAGGAGGAGGAGGAGGAGAAGGAGGAGGAGAGGGAGGAGGAGCAGGAGGAGCAGGAGGAGGAGGAGGATCAGAGCATACCTAAGACTCATCATCATCAATTCGAAAAGGAGCCACCCTCAACCCACACGGTGATACGTACGCTGAAGCTTCGGGTCCTAAGCGTTACGGAAGTCTCCGGCGAGAGCCGAATGTTGGAAGCATGTCCGTCTTCCATCTGATTGTTGCAAGTTGCTAGATCGAATGTGCGCGGCGCTTGGTCCATGTGTGAAGAGGAGCCGTTCTCGATGCATGAAGCTGCTGCAAGACCGAAAGACGAATGCGCGCGGCAGTAAGGCGTGACCCCCGCTTTGAAACTTAGCGTCCCTGCACCACTGTCAGTGTTACATACGGTATGTCGATTCCCCAAACAGCGCTTGCGCTCAGAGATTCTCAGCTACTTTCCACGGATGTGGGCCTGCGTGTCCGTATGGCGGCTGTGTAGCCGCCGTCGCCGCCCCTTCGCCGTCTCGTCGCTGCCCGTCGTCTGGGCCTGCATGCCGGTCTGGCGGCTATGTAGCCGCCGTCGCCGCTCGTCGCCGCCCCGTCGCCGCCGTCGCCGCTCGTCGCCGCCGTCAGATTGTACCACATGAGTTGCGTTCCTTTGCGTTGCCTTGCACTGCGTTGCTGCGCTGCATTGCTTGGCACTGTTATGCATTGCCCTGCGTTGCTTTGCGTTGCTTCGCTTTGTATCGCTTTGCGTTGCGTTGCTTTGCCTTGCTGTACATTGCTTTGTACTGTCTTGCCTTGCTTTGCGTTGCATTGCTTTGCATTGCTTCGCATTGTTTTGCATTGCGTTGCATTGATTTGCATAGCTGCGCACTGCATTGCGCAGAGTGCACAACATGTATTCTCCTTTCTGAAAGAATATTCGAATCTCACCCCCCTGGTCTCAACGGGCCCCTATCCTGAATATGAACTCGTATCATCCCAGCCAGACCGGCAACGGCCCCCCTCATCCTTATCAGCAAAATACTGTGTGCGCGCATTCGTTCATCAAAAATCACCAGTCTTCAAACATCCTTCGCAAACAAGGGACGAAGTGCACGCGCGCGTCGTCGCGCGCATGCCGAAATCATTCAAAAGCCTCAGGTGTGGTTAGGACTTCAAAATCTAGAGCCCCGAAAACACGTAATGAACACATGGCTTCGCACATCGGATGTTTCTAAGATTTTTTGAATAATGACACTAATAATAATAATATCAATAAGAATACTCATACTAATGATGATGATACGAATAATAATAACATATACGATGTTCTTAAAAAGTGCGTCCGCGCCATCTCAGGAAGCCTTGGGTCCTCCAGGGACAACCTCGGAGCCTTATCGGGCCATCTTGGGGCCTCTGGGCCTAGTGTTGGTGTCCTTTTCGGTGCGTCTTGGGACCATCTGGAGACCTTGTTGCGCTGTCTCTGGCCATCTCGGGGGAAATTCCGTCCTCTGTGTTGGGGGGGACACCTCGGGTAATTTTGTGGACCACAGGAGACTCTTGGATCGTTGATTGCTTTTGCTGCTCCTGTCCGCTACCCCCTGGAGGCCCTGGGAGGCGCGGCGAGGCGATCGCAAACATGGATTAAGGGGGCGTGGACTAGCGGCGGGTCCCGCTTCCATGGGGAAGCGCGGATTTCCGCCGCCGAACGAGGCGGCACCGGTCGCATGTTGGGGAGGGCACCTCCCCCGATCCATGGATTTGGCGACCGCGCGCCAGATCCCCAGACCCCCTCGCGTCATGAAAAAATCACGACGGGAGGTTTTTCGTTATTTTCGGCCTCAAAAGGCCCTTACCGGCCCTCGGGACCGTCAAAAAACGACTCAGGACGAAAAACCGGTCCCAGGGAATTGGTCCAGACCGCTGGGGGTCGACGTCATGAAAAATTCATGACGTCGGGGGTCTGGGTCCATCGATCGCTTGAGGTCCCTCTGAGCCTTGAGGTCGTGTACGATCCTGGGCGACCCCGGGAGGTTCCGGGCCTGCCAGGGCCGAGGCTCCGGGATGCTGAAACACGATGCTTCAAAGGACCGGCAGGTCGCATGCCTAGCAGCAGTCCTCCTCCTCTTCCTCCTCCTCCTTCTCCTCCTCCTCCTCCTCCTCCTCCTCCTCTTCCTCCTCCTCCTCCTCCTCCTCCTCCTCCTCCTCCTCTTCCCTCCTCCTTCTCCTCCTCCTCCTCCTCTCTTCTCCTCTTTCCTCATCCTGCCTCCTATTCCCTCCTCCTCCTCTTTGCTTTGCCTCCTCCCTCCTCTCCCTCCTCCTCTTCCTCCTGCCTCTTCTCTCCTCCTCTCCTCCTCCTCCTCTCCTTTCCTCCTCCTCCTCCTCTCCACCTTCTCCTCCTTCACACTCGAAGGGGGGCAGGTCCAGCACACTTTTTCGTCGGCGGCCCGAGGCGGCGAACTCCGCTCCAGCGAGAAGCTACTCTTTTCGTCGGCGGCGAGGCGGCGAACTCCGCTCCAGCGAGAAGCTAGGGTAGGGGCACCAGCCAGCGAATTGGCCGGCGTGCAAAGAGGGGAGGGGGGGGAAGCCAAGAGGAAGGAGGGGCGCTCAGACGCCGAAGAGTTCGACGGGGAGCAGCCGGGGGGGGGGGGGGCAGCAGCGGCCAGGCGCGCGGGGCCAGGCGCGCGGTGGGCGGCCGTGGCGAAGCCCAGGGGCCAGCGCACCCGACCGCCAGACTTCCTGCCCAGGGGTGGGCGCGTCGCGTGCGCCTGGCGCGGCCAGCGTGCAGGGCGCAGCACGCGCGTCGAGCCCTCGTGGCGGCCAGCCTGCGGAGCGCGTCCGCGCGCGCGCGCGCCCTGCCCGCCGAGGAGGCGCGCGCACCGCGCCCCGCAGGGTGGCCCGGCTGGCCTGCGGAGGTCGCGGGGCTCGGAGCGCCGAAAGGACGCCTCTCCAGTCTCGTGCACGGCCTCCGCCTCCCCATTCCTTCACCCCTTTAACTCCTCCTCCTCCCTTACCTCCCTCCTCCTCCTCCTCTCCTCCCTCCTCCTCCTCTCCCCCCTCCTCCTCCTCCTCGCCCTCTCCTAACTCGTCCTGCCTCTCGCTTCCACCTTCCTCCTACCTCACTCCTACCTTCCTACGCAGTCCTCCTCCTCCTACTCCTCCTCCCCCCTCGTCGGCACGCCGCCTCGGCGTGGCACTCTGGCCGCCGCGAGGGGAGGGCGGGTCCTCGGGCCCTTCGCCGGGGCGTGCCCCCCGGAAGAGACGGGGAGGCCCCCGGCCTGCGCGGAGGTGACCCGTGGCCCCGCCGGACTCCGAAGAAGTCGAAGAGACCATGATTTCCGACGTATTTTTTCAGGAGGAGAAGAAACACACAGACACAATTAATCCTCGATTCCCCAGAAAATATGGGAAAATATGGGAAGTGGGGGGGAAGACAGAAACCCAGAAAATATGGGAAAATATGGGACCTACTTTTATTTGTGTGTACCAGGCCCGTGACCCGTGGCCCCGCCGGACTCCGCAAAAGTCGGAGGAGCTCGCGAAGGATCGGGGGTGGACAGAACCCCCAACAGTGACACGTCGATTAGTGAATTGTCCGTTCTCGGCTCTCGAGAGGGCGCCGCGGCCGCTGTTTTCCAGGCTTGCGCCCGCCAGGTCTGGGCCTCAGGTCGTTTTCACTAAACCACGTTTTACTAAAGGGGGTTCTGTCCATCCCCGAGAGACCATGATTTCCGACGTATCTTTGAGATTGCCAAAGTTACAGAAGTTTCTGAAGTTCTGGAAGTTTCAGCAGTTCCACAGGCTTCAAAGGGTTCAAAAGTTGCAGAGGTTGCAGAAGTTTCAGAAGTTTCAGAGGTTTCAAAAGTTTCAAAGGTTTCAAAAGGTTTCAGAAGTTTCAGGATTTTGACCCGAACGACGCTGAACCCGAAGTTTTTGGCTTCCCGGGGCCCCCCTCATGGGCCCCGTGGCTGTCCGAAAACGACTCGGGATGAAGAGCTGGTCTCGAGGGGAAGGCCGCAGGGTGCAGGACCCGCTTCCGTCAGGATCGGTTCCCTTCTCACCACCCACCAAACCACCCCAACCCAACCCGAAGGCTCAAATTTACCCTCGATTTCCAGTGGGGGGGGGTCGGGAAACGTCGAAAAAACACATGTGGAACCCTTACCCCCCCCAACCCGAAATTCGGGTCTTCGGGTTGGGTTGGGGTGGTCTGGTAGGTAGTCACCTTCCTCGTGCCAAATCTGGCCCGCATCAGAGCGCACAGTCAACCCGCGCAGTAATGATGAGCAACTCTCTAAGGTTACGTCGGTTTCAAGTCAGGGGGCCCTCGCAATTCCCTTTTTAGAATGCGCTAGCGTCGATTAGCGTCTGGTAATCGGTGATTTAGCGCCAAGTCAGCGTCGATGAGCGTCGATTTAGCGTCGACCCTTGCGTCGATTAGCGTCGATCCGCAAGAGCCAAGAAAGATGGTACGAGAGGCTCCCATGAGTTGCCGCCGAAGGTTGCCCTTGCATCGTCCCCCTTCGACCCATCCTTGGCCGCTCTCGCTGGCCGCGCCCCGCTCGCAGAGTGTCGACATGGCCCTCCGATGCCGCTTTTTTCTCGTGGGCTTCGCGGAATCGCCTGTGTACTGTGGCTCCCACAGGCTTGGAACCTGTGTATGGCTGTTACCGGTCCTCCAGACTGGAGCCCAAACGGCTACAGAGAGGAATACGATATAATGATTACCCCTCCTACCTACCCCTAGCGCCTCCTATGGGCCGTGCATCCTTATCGCGCGTCCTCATCCTACGGGCTGACTGCATCCCAGGAGGCCAGGCAGCGAGGGCCGCCACGAGGGTGCGAAGCTGGTCGCGTTTCGCGCTTCGCGGTCTGGGCGATCTCAGAGCGAGGCGCGAGTCCCCTTAGGAGGAGGAGGAGGAAGAGGAGGAGGAGTAGGAGGAGGAGGAGGAGGAGGAAGAGCAGGAGGAGGAGCAGGAGAAGGAGCAGGAGGAAAAGGGGGAGGAGAAGGAGGCGGAGGAGGTGGAGGAGGAGGCGTAGGAGGAGGAGGAGGAGGAGGAGGAGGAGGAGGAGGGAGGAGGAGGAGCAGGAGGAGGAGCAGGAGAAGGAGCAGGAGGAAAAAGGGGGAGGAGAAGGAGGAGGCGGAGGAGGCGGAGGAGGAGGACGGGGTAGGAGGAGGAGGCGTAGGAGGAGGAGGAGGAGAGGAGGAGGAGGAGGAGGAGGAGGAGGAGGAGGAGGAGGAGGAGGGGCGCGGCGGCGACAGCGCGAAGATAGTCGCATCTTTGCGCTCCGCGGGGCGCGCGAACCGCGGAGGTGGCTGCCCACGGGCAACGCGCGCTGCGCTGAACAAGATGCACGCTTCCAGCTGCCCCCCTCCCTCCCTCCTCCTCTCCTCCTCCTCCTCCTCATCCTCCTCCTCCCTCCTCCTCCCCCCTCCCTCCTCTTCCTCCTCCTCCTCTCCTTCCTCCTCCTCCTCTCTCCTCTCCCTCCTCCTCCTCCTCCTCCCTCCTCCTCCTCCTCCTCCCCCCCCCCTCCTCCCTTCCTCCTCCTCCTCCCCTCCCCCCCCTCCTCCTCCTCTCCTCCTCCTCCTCCTCCTCCTCCTCCCTCCTCCTCCTCCTCCTCCTCCCGCAAAGAGGGTCAAGAGATTCGGCGAGGCTGGGCCTCAAATGTCTTTCTGGAAGACTCCGCAGAATCAGCTTTGAGTGTGGGGCACGCGCGCGACGCGGCGCTCGGCTTCCACGAGAAGGGTTCAATCTGGAGTTAACCTTCCTCTGGGTGGACCCCTGCGACGCTCGGCGTCCACGAGAAGGGTTTAATCTGGAGAAGAAGCGTCCTCACGGCGAATGCCTTGATGCTCGGCCAGCGGAGCCCAGGGCGAGAGCTGCGCACACACACACACACACAGACACAGACACAGACACAGACACAGACACAGACACAGACACAGACACAGACACAGACACAGACACAGACACAGACACACACATACACACACAGACACAGACACAGACACAGACACAGACACACACACAGACACAGACACACACACACACACACACACACACACACACACACACACACACACACACACACACACACACACACACACACACACACACACACACACACACACACACACGCCGCCAGACGTCGCTCCCTCCGTGGCCAGGCACGGCGGTCCTCCGCGTGTGCATCCAGCGGGGGGCCTCCTAGCATGTTCCGCTCGCGTGCCGGCCGGTGCGTGCCTTTAGCTTGAAGTCGGGCTTGTCCCTCTACAGGAGGGATATTCAAAAATAGTAAAAACATAGTCTGGGGACGATTTGTCTACTATTTTTGATCAGTTTGGGTTTTCTTGGCTATCTTGTATTTCTCGTCCAACATCCGCCTGTAGGTGGATATGCCCGACCTAATTCTAGCTCCCCGGTGCGTGTCGAGTGCGGGGGAAGGCGGCCGGGAGTGCGCGCTGCAGCTGCCCCAGACATGGACCATCGGCGCTCACCACCCACAAAACCACCCCAACCCAACCCGAGGGCCTCAATTTGCCCTCCATTTCCAGTGGGGGGGGGGGGGGGGGGGCCCGAGAACATTGAAAAAAACACATATGGAGCCCATACCCCCTCCCAACCCGAAATTCGGGTCCTCGGGTTGGGTTGGGGTGGTCTGGTAGGTAGTCAGGCGCCCGACCCCCCGTCGCGCTGTGGGGGGGGGCAGCCCGAGCAGTGCCGCCGGGAGGCTGCAGCACGCGTCTCGAGTCGGAGATCCGCCCGCCATCGGCGGGTGCCCCCCCGGGGAGCGTCGCCGCGGAGCACCGGGGGCACCGCGCGGAGCTCGGATCGGGGGCCCCATGCGAACCCTACCCCTACCCCCCACGATTTCTGAGGGGGAGGGGGAGGGTTCGCATGTGGCCCCCTATTGGAGAGAGTCGACGGAGGATGGGCAAGCAGTGGAGCGTCGGAGGAAGAAGCGCAAGCAGTGGCGAGGTGTCCTGGCTCCCCCTACATCCCCACCGAAGAATGCCCCGAGAGTCCTTCGTGGTCTGCACGAGGTGTTCTCAGAACAGTTCTGGTTGGGACTGTCTTGTTCTATCACATCGGGCTCATGTTCTAAGAACATTGTTTTTGTTCTTAGAACGTTTTTGGGGTTCTTAGAACATTTCGTGGAAGGACTGTAGGAATGCCTGGACCGTCGTCCCCTGCTCAAGGAACTTCCTCCCGAAGAGCCGGGCCAGCGGCTCCCAACCGACTTGCACGAAGGCTGGCCCAGTCTCTCGAGCGCGCTTGCCCCTCCAGCAGCGTGAGCACGAGCACTCGGCCCGGGCTCGTTTCAAGAAGCCTCCGGGAAGCTGGTCCAGATGCTTCAAGTCACAGTTTTTCCCGACCTAGGCTCTGCCTAGAGGGTTCTTATTCTCTTTCTTAAAGGGGCCCGGCAGGCAGTGGAAAGCGCCCCAGGGGGTTCCCCCAGTCCCCGCCCCGCGGTTCCCCCAGTTGCGCCCCCTTAGCTTAGCTTTGCTTATCTCATCTTAGCTTAGCTTAGCTTAGCTTAGCCTAGCCTAGCTTAGCTTAGCTTAGTTTAGCTCAGCTTAGCTTAACCTAGCGCAGCCCAGCATTGGCATAGCATAGCATAGCATATCATAGCATATCATAGCATAGCGCAGCATAGCATAGCGCAGCATAGCATAGCATAGCATAGCATAGCATAGTACATCATAGCATAGCATAGCGCAGCATAACATAGCATAGCACAGCGCAGTATAGCATTGCAAAGTATAGCATAGCATATCATAGCATAGCGTAGCATAGCGCAGCATAACATAGCATAGCATAGCGCAGCATAGCCTAGCATATCATAGCATAACATAGCACAGCACAGCATAGCATAGCATAGCATAGCATAGCATTTCGCAGCAGAGCATAGCATTACACAGCCTAGCATAGCATAGCATAGCGCAGCATATCATAGCATATCATAGTATAGCATAGCATAGCGCAGCATAGCATAGCATCGCATAGCATTATCATAGCATATCTGTAGGTGTAGATGTAGATGTAGATGTGAGTGCAGTTGTAGATGTGGATGTAGATGTAGATGTAGATGCATGTGTACATGTAGATGTAGCTGTAGGTGTAGATGTGGAGGTAGGTCTAGATGTAGATGTAGGTATACAGCTGTATTATCACTACTACTACTACTACTACTACTACTACTACTACTACTACTACTACTACTACCGCTACTGCTACAACTGTTTTCCCGACCTAGGCTCTGCCTAGAGGGTTCTTATTTTCTTTCTTAAAGGGGCCGGGCAGTGGAAATCGCCCCGGGTGGTTCCCCCAGTATCCGCCCCGCGGTTCCCCCAGTTGCGCCCCCTTAGCTTAGCTTTGCTTATCTCATCTTAGCTTAGCCTAGCTTAACTTAGCTTAGCTTAGCCTAGCCTAGCTTAGCTTAGTTTAGCTCAGCTTAGCTTAGCTTAGCGCAGCGCAGCATTAGCATAGCATGGCATAGCATAGCATAGCGCAGCATAGCATAGCGCAGCATATCATAGCCTAGCATATCATAGAATAGCATAGCATAGCGCATCATAGCATATCATAGCGCAGCATAACATAGCATAGCACAGCGCAGTATAGCATTGCAACTTATAGCATATCATAGCATAGCTTAGCATAGCGCAGCATAACATAGCATAGCATAGCGCAGCATAGCCTAGCATAGCATATCATAGCATAGCACAGCACAGCATATCATAGCATAGCATAGCATAGCGCAGCATATCATATCATTACACAGCCTAGCATAGCATAGCATAGCGCAGCATATCATAGCATAGTATAGCATAGCATAGCATAGTATAGCATAGCATAGCGCAGCATAGCATAGCATCGCATAGCCTTATCATAGCGTAGATGTAGGTGTAGGTGTAGATGTAGATGTGAGTGTAGTTGTAGATGTAGATGTAGATGTAGACGTAGATGTAGATGTAGATGTAGATGTAGATGTAGATGCATGTGTACATGTAGATGTAGCTGTAGGTGTAGATGTGGAGGTAGGTCTAGATGTAGATGTAGGTATTCAGCTGTACTATCATTACTACTACTACTACTACTACTACTACTACTGCTACTACTACTACTACTACTGCTACTACTACTACTACTACTACTTTTACTACTACTTTTACTACTACTACCACTACTACTACTACTACTACTACTACTACTACTACTACTACTACTACTACTACTACTACTACTATTACTACTACTACGACTACTACTACTACTACTACTGCTACTACTACTAATACTACTACTACTACCGCTACTGCTACAACTGCGACGATAAGGAGAAGGAGGAGGACGGCGTTTACCGTTACTACTAATATTGTTCTTTGGGGCTCCAACTCCTAGGTAGGGTCGCTCTGGGATAATCTTGGCCATATTTATGTTCGGCTGCATGTTTCCCTACCTAGGCTCTGCCTAGAAGGGTTCTTACTCTCTGGGCTTAAAGGGGCCGGGCAGTGGAAAGCGCCCCGGGCGGTTCCCCCAGTATCCGCCCCGCGGTTCCCCCAGTTACGTCCCCTTAGCTTAGCGTTGCTTATCTCATCTTAGCTTAGCCTATTTCATCTTAGCTTGACTTAGCTTCATCTTAGCTCAGGTTTATCTTAGCTTAGCTTACCTTCATCTCAGCGTCGCTGAGCTGTAGCAGAGCAGAGCACAGCATAGCATAGCATAGCGTAGCATAGCATAGCGCAGCATAGCGTATCATAGCATAGCACAGCATAGCATAGCGCAGCGCTGCATTAGCATATCATAGCACAGCATACTATAGCCAACCATAGCATAGCATAGCATAGCATAGCATAGCATAGCATAGCATAGCGCAGCATAACATAACATATCATATCATAGCATAGCATAGCGCAGCTCAGCATAGCATAGCATAGCATATTATATCATAGCACAGCGCAGCATGACATACCATAGCTTAGCATAACATAGCATACCATAGCGCAGCATAACATAGCATAGCATAGCATAGCGCAGCATATCATGACATACCATAGCATAACATAGCATAGCAACTAACGCTGCTTTCCTAGGGGCTCCAACTTCTAGGTAGGGTCGCACAGGGGTAATTTGTATTTGGATGTCTTGTCGTATGCGCCAGCTCTATCAGGAGGGAAAGAAACACACAGACGCAAATAGTCGTCGGTTCCCAGGGAAATATGGGAAAATCTGGGTAGTAGGGGGGAAGACGAAAACCCAAAAAATACATGAAAGTATGGGGAGTCCTCTTATTTGCGTCTATTTATTTGTGTGTCCCTGGGCCCCTTCACTCTAGAGGTCATTCGTAGCGCGGCTGCAGGGCATCTCCCGGTCCGCCGCCCGAGTTGCACGGAGCCCCTCTGAAGCAGGCGTCGACGACCTCCAGGGGCGAACTTGTGAGCTTGCCCAGAGTGGAGCGAACAAGGACAGGGGAGAAGGAGGAGGAGGAGGAGGAGGAGGAGGAGGAGGAGGGCGATGAGGAGGGGCAGAAGAGGAGGAGGAGGAGGAGGAGGAGGAGGAGGAGGAGGAGGAGGACGAGGAGGACGAGGAGGAGGAGGAGGAGGGAGGAGGAGGAGGAGGAGGAGGATGAGGGAGCGTGAGGGTGGAAGACAGGGGGGGAGGGAGGGGGGGGGAACGAGGGAGGGGTAGAAGAGGGGCAGGAGTGAGGAGAGGGAGGGGTGTAGGAGAGGCAGCGGAGGCTTCGCCACCTCCGGCAGTTCCCGGAGGTCCCCAGGAGGACCCCCTGAGGCCCCCGGGGGCCGAGAAAGGGCCGACAATGACCGAAATGATCGACACCCGATCCTCGAACCTCGAGGAGGAAGTGGGGAAGGCAGAGGGAGCGAGGAATCATGAGAGAAGAGGAGGGAAATAGAGAGAGAGAGAGACAGCGATATTAATAGACGTACACAGAAGAAGGAAATATACAGCAAGAGAGAGAGAGGGGAGGGAGGGAGAGAGGGGAGGGATGGAGAAGAAGAAGGAGAGGGAGAGCAATGAGTGGGAGAGGGAGGAGATGGAGATGGAGGCAGACAACGTCGACATCGACGTCGACGTCGTGAACGACGACATCGACGACAACGACAACAACGACACCTACGTCGTGGTCGACCACGTCGTCGACGTCGCCGACGACGACGACAGCGACGAAAACGACGACGACAGGGAGGGGATCGAGGAAGATCAGACTGCATAAACATGGACGTCCAGAGGTCCGCGCGGATTTCTTGGCTCTACGCTGGATCGCCCTCGCGGCGCCTCTGGCGCCACCCTGGCGCGCTCCGCACGTCAGGGAGGGGGGCCCAGCGCTGATCCAAGAAGTGCGCACGGAGCTCCAACAGTTTGCGTGCTGTGCAGCTTCATCCGAGCATCTTCTTCGGGTGGAGGGCAAAGAGAATGACATCTGAAATGCCGTTTCGATTGGTTTTCGAGGCCTGGATCTGCAAAAGGGGAATCACAAGACGCGTTGATTTTCGAGGTGCAGAAGCCCATGTCGATTTCGCCCGGAGCCTTCCGCGCCAGGGAGATGCTCAGCTCATCTGCTGCTGCAGTCAAGGCGCCGACGTGAGGCCCACTTCCGGCTCAGGATAGGGGGCCACATGCGAACCCGACCCCCGAACGAAGTGAACCCCACCCTCCCCCTCAGCAGAAATCGTGGGGGGTAGGGGTCGGGTTCGCATGTGGCCCCCTGCGGGATGCGCTCTGGTCCTCGGGCCGCTCCCGAGGTCCGGACCCCGGAGCCTCCTCGTGGCCGAGGCTCGCCGTGGTCCGGAAGCGCCCCCGCTCGTCTCTTCTCGGGCGGTCTTGACGGCAGCGCGGCGGCTGTATCTCGAGGAGGAGGAGTGTGAGGAAGGCGCGGGGAAGCAGGAGGAGGAGGAGGAGGAGGAGGTGGAGGAACACGAGGAGGAGGAGGAGCAGGAGGAGGCTGGAGGACGAGGAGGAGGAGGAGGAGAACAAGCTGGATGAGGAGGAGGAGGAGGAGAGAGGAGGAGGAGGAGGAGGAGCAGGAGCATGAGCAGGAGCAGGAGCAGGAGCAGGAGCAGGAGGAGGAGCAGGAGCAGGAGGATGAGGAGGAGGAGAAGGAAGAAGAGAAGGAGAAGAAGGAGCAGGAGGAGGAGGAAGAGGAAGAGGAGAAAGAGAAGAAGCAGAAGGAGGAGTAGGAAGAGGGAGGGGGGAGAAGGAGGAGGAGATGGAGGAGGAGGATCGATCGGATCGAGGTGGGCCCCTCCTCCTCCACTGGGCCGTTCACGCCGTCCCAGGCGGGGAGCCAGCACGGGGTGCTTCTCGACCACGACTCGGGGCTGAACATCACCGGGTCCGCGCGCCCTCGCCGATGCGCGCCCGCCTGGGCTGTTCCCAGGGGGCAGGATCGAGGCGGCGGAGGAGGAGGAGGAGGAGGAGGAGGAGGAGGAGGGAGGAGGAGGAGGAGGAGGAGAAGGAGGAGACGGAGGAGGAGGACAAGGAGGAGGAGGAGGAGGACAGGAGGAGGAGGGAGGAGGAGGAGGAGGAGGAGGAGAGAGGAGGAGGAGAGGAGGAGGAGAAGGAGGAGGAGGAGGAGGAGAGAGAGGGAGGGAGGGAGGGAGGGGGGGAGGAAGGCCGCAACGACGACGACGACGCCTGCGGTCGCCGCCTCCTTGGCCCACTGGCCTGCCCAGCTCAGCCTCCACGGCGGCCACCCCGCCCGGCAGCGCGGCCGCGCTGGGCCACCCCGGCCCCCACGTTTGCCGCAGCGCCTGCCTGCGCGGCTGCCCCGACCGACCTCGCCATCCGCCCCCCGCCCCCCTCTCCCTCTTTCTCCCTTGTCGGGCGAAGAGAACTATGCACATGCACCGATCCTGGCAAGGCCCATTTTTGACCCAGGATCGGTGCATATGCCTTCCTGGCCAAGGTAGGAGGGCGTATGCACCGATCCTGGGCTCAGGATGGGCCTGGCCAGAATCGGTGCATGTGCATAGTTCTTTTCCCTCTACCTTGCCCCTGCCGGGCCGCCCCTGTAAGCATTGCAATTCAGAATTAGACGACCACTTCAAAGGCAGAGTGCCGTGGGCGAGTCCTCCTGAAGGTCCGGGAGGTGGCTCCTTTTGTTGCTGGGAGCCGGGACCAGAACCCCAACGCCCGGGGGTCCCTTTTGGTGACGGGGATGGAGACTCACTCGGGTGCCCCTCGGTTTTTTGGGAGGGAGGCAGGGAGGGGGGGAGAAGGAGAGGGAGAGAGGGAGGGAGGGAGGGATGGAGAGAGGGAAGGAGGGAGGGGGCAGGGAGATGGAGGGAGGAGGAGGAGGAGGAGGAGGAGGAGGAGGAGGAGGAGGAGGAGGAGGAGGAGGAGGAGGGGCCGTCTTGGGGGCCTCTTGGGGCCGTGTCTTGGGCCTCTTGGGCGATCTTTGGGGGCACTTGGGCCGTCTCGGGTCGTCGGAAGGCAGAAAAACAGCAAATGCCACAATCCTTCAAAAACTCATGGGAAATCAATGTTTTTGGCCTTTTCGGGCCTTCCTGGAGGCCCTCTTGGAGGCCTCTTGGGCCGTCTTGGGCCATCTTAGGGCCATGTTCGGCCGTCTTGGTGGGCTCCTGGTCCGTCTGACGCCGTCGGAAGCCGTTTGGGGGGCGCTTGGGTCCCTCTTGGAGCCGTCTTGGGTCATCTTCAGCGCTGCTTGGGCCATATTGGAGCCCTCTTGGGCCGTCTTGGGGCCCCCTTGGAGGCGTCTGGGACTGTTTTGGGGCGGTCTTGGGGGCTTCTTGAGCCGTCCTGCAGCGTCGGAAATGCGAGAAGGTCAAACCAAACCCTTCAAAAGCCTTCTGTCAAATCAACTAGTTTGGCCTCTTGGGGCTCTCTGGGGAGGCCTCTTGGAGCGGTCTTGGGGCCCTCTTGGGCCGTCTTGGAACAATCTTCGGGCGCCTTGGAACACTCTTGGCCTCGGCAGTGCGAATATGGCGTAGTTTGCGAAGGTTTCTGGCTTCGGGGACGGGGGCGCAAGCTTTCTTAATGTGTACGAAGGTTTGTGGCCTCGGAGACGCGAACATTGCGTAGTGTACAAGGGATTATGGCCTCTCGCGTATTTTTACATGTCCCACGCTCCCCCCCCCCTCGGGAATTCAGAGTACGCGATCCGAGGGTGATAAAGTGCTGCTTTGGGGCTCCCCCCCTCGCTCGGGTTTCAACAAGTTACAATGA